CCCATCTCCATCCCCTTCTTTATCCCATCCCCATCCTCACCCCCATCCCCATCCCCATTCCCATTTCTATCCTCATCTCTATCCCCATTCCCATCCCCATCCCTATCCTCATTCCTATTTCTATGGAAAGGGAAGTGTAAAGTCTCTGTTTTAAAGCTATACATGAACTTCAGAAGGAATCCCTGAACACCACTTAATGATGGAAGTTTATACACTTGAAGGGAAACACAGTACTTGGCACCAGTCTGTGTCTGTGATCCTTCTAAGTGAGAAGGTAATAGATGTTTGCCCACATAAGGAGCTTCTGAGGTCAAAAGGATTTTCAGAACCACCATAGCTTAGAGTTGGAGAGGACCTCAGTGACCATCTAATCTAATTGTTAGGACTTTTTTCCTTCCATCAAACCTAAGTCTTCCTCTTTGCGATTTCCTTTCATTGCATCTACTTCTTTCCCTATAAGGATAAGCAGAAAAGTACAATAATCGTGCTTCTACATGGCCGCCCTTGAAATACTTGAGGCCAGATTATCCCTAAGCTTTTATCTCCTTCAGAATAAACATCCTTCACCCGGCTTCATTACAGTTTTGTGGCTTCAATGACACTACCACAGAACTATTATTCCAGGATCCGAGCCCTAGGAGCCACACAAATGACCGGACTCAGGTGGAGCATCTATCTCTCCACAGTTCTCACCTGTGCGCTCCTGGCCGAAGGAATAGTTCTCATACTCGCCACTTCTTGTTGTTATAGTTACGTTGAACAGTCGGCCGGGAGTAAGGGAGCTGAAGGAGCATTCGCTGATGGATTTTGCAATAGGAAGGGACTGAACAATCTTATCACCGTGAGAGAGAGTCACAGAATAGCTATCTACATCTCCAAGAGCTGGTAGCCAGGAAATGCTGAGGTAATCACTCCGACCAGAATTATTCAATGTTACTCCACTGACATTAGAAGGGACTGGGGGCAAAGAGAGAGAGAGAAAACATGAGTGGGATTAGTAATACGTCATTGTCATCAAACGACAGGAATTCCTGGTATCTAATCTGATCACATAAGAATTAAAGGAAAAGTTAGGATTCCACATTATCTTTCAGAACTCTAGAGTTCTCTATGTCAGTCATAAGGTCGACTCAGATAAAGCCCAGGGATACTTAATAATAACTAGCGTTTATGTAGCACCTTAAGGTTTGCCAAGCTTTTAACAAACATTATCTCATCCGATTCTCATAACAACCCTGGGAAGTGGGTGCTATTATTATCCCCATTTTGCAGATGAGGAAACTGAGGCAGAGCAACCTCTGGTTTGCCCAGAGTTACATAACTAGTTAACTGTCTGAGATTGGATTTGAACTAAAATCTTTCTGACTCTAGGTATAGAACACTATTCATCAAGATACCCACGTGTCTCTACCTGCTTCTTGGTTTGACGTAACCCCAATCTGTAAATAAAATACTGTCACTCCTGCCATTTTTTAAATGGGGTGGATGTTTTTTCTGCTTCTACTTTAAAGTATTCTAGGAATGGAGCATTTTTTTATTTTAATTTTTTTTAGAAATGTGCTTTACAGAGAAGGGAACAGTTTAGCAAATCAAAATAATTGATAAAATGAAGATGTTATCTGGGGTAAAATGTGAAGAACTGAATGACTTTTCTCAAAATCCTCCCACATCAATGCACTGTGAAGTTCATGCCCTCTGGTATTCATCATTAGGGGGTATTAGTAATCCTCACTGCTATGGAGCCCATAACAAAAGCATTTTCTGCCCCCTAGTGGTAGGAAGAAAGTCGAAAGCCTTAAGCAGGTCATACATAGCATGCTAGTGCATGGTAACTTTCTTCATTTGTGGCTAAGTATTTGTAAATAAGGGCTGATTCTTATCAAATGATGTCATTACAGTCTTAGTTATATTTCTATCGTCAACAGATATTGACAGAATATTGTCAATCGTTTGTTTAACAGTGTATCCCTAGTTTATTACGGTCATCATTGCCTGTCAGGAAAAGTCAGCTTAAATTTCCACAAGCATATTTGAATATCAGACTTGTGTTTCTCAGAAAGAATCTGGATGTTTTCAATATTTACCGAAAATGAAGCTGCCATTATCACAGTACAAGTTATCAGTTCAACCAACAAATGTTTATAGGATTAGGGACTGGACTTCTGATTTCATTAATATATGGAATTCCTAGAGGAGAAAACTCCCTCTACCAATACAGGTCACCAGGCTTCTCCGCAATTCTCTGCAGTCTTAGCGAGCTGCCCAGAGCACTAAAAGGCTGTGACTTGTTCAGAGTCACTCAGTACCGAGAGGCATATTACCATAGATTTAGAGCTGGAAAGGACCTTGAAAGAGGTCACAAATTCCTTCTCTTTCATTTTATGGACGAGAACACTGAGGCTAAGTTACTGAGGTTAAGTGACTTTTCCCAGGGTCACACAGCCAGTGTGTTCCCTAGGCACAAGTGTCAGCTGGAGCCAGCTGGTACCATTTTGAGAGTGCCCATTCTTAAATTTTCAGCATGAGCATTTATACCTCAAAAATCAGCAAATGCAAATCAGGGTTTGATTTATTGTTTTGTTGACCATCCAAATTTCAAAAAATGATGGAGAAAACATTAATAATAAAGATTAAACTTAAAAATATGTTGAACATATATCCCCCCCAACCCCAAGAGCTGGTTGTTAAACATTTATAAGCACACCATTGCCTAGGTACAACTTGAATCCAAATCTTTGACTCAAAGGCCAACTGTACCACAATTACCTATCTAAAAATGTTTATATTTCCCCCCAAAAGTTACAAAATAGAACCTTATTAATGATTTTTCTAGGAGTTGTTTGATTTTACAGAAATTAGTCTACTTTGCTCCTTAGGGCCAGCATCAACCTACAGAGATAGTTGTTTGAACTGTTTTGAGTTATGAGATGCTGGAAAATGAACACAGTTTTACAACTTGAACAGATAATGGTGTCCTCCTATCTTCTCGTGATACAGGAAAGTGTCTTTGCATGAAATGTCACAGACTTGATGTCAATATCTATTTTTGTGTAATGACTATTCCTAATACTCTGGGACTCTTTATCATGTGTCATATTTTAATTTGTCTTCTTTTACTCTTAGGCATCAGAACTAGATTTTATTTTATCATTATGTCTTTCTCATAAATGGAAAGATGCATGGTAGGTATAAGTAGGTTATATACTATTGCCATTGGTGATTTAGACACAAGAAGTATCATAAAAGACATTATTAACAACTGTGAATGGAAAATGAGGTGGATCTAATATGTTGTATGATCTAGGAATAACTACTTCTATGCCCTTGCGTAAGTGACATCACCCTGTGTTCCTCAGTTTCCTTATCTGTAAAATGAGGGAGCTAAGTGGCCTGTAAGCTCCCTTCTGATTCTAAATCCTTGATTCTATGATCTTATGCAAGACTACTTGACTTGCCAAAGACAGAAAGCTGGGAGGAGCAGAAAATATGTTGAATAACAGAATCAAGATTTGAAAAGCTCCTAAGAGGATGGGAAGATGAAACTAAGCCAGCAAGGTGAATTTAACAGAGATAAATATGAAGTTCATCAATAAAGCTTAAAATAACCATTTGCACTAATATGAAGTGGGGGCATATGGCTTAAAATAGTTGCTATGAAACAGGTCTGAAGGTTTTGGTTGATTGAAATCTCAATATAAGTCAATAATATTACACCCTTACCAAAAAAAAGCAAATATAACATAGGTAAATACATCAGTAGATGTACAATGTTTAGGACAAGGCAGGTATTCTGATTTTAGCTCTAGAAGTGACTTATCCAAGCTCACAAAGCTAATTAATCATAGAGCTGGAATTAGAAGGTAGGTCTTCTGAATCACAACCTGGTCTTTTTTTTTTTTTTCCATTCAGCAAAGTACAGTGTCATGGAAGCTAAGGGAAGAGAGAGTTTCAAGAAAAGTGGTGGGATTCATGGTGCCATGTGTTGTAAACTGTGCAAAGAACATTGGATTAGATGCCCAAGTATAAACGAATGGGTCTACTTCTGACTAGAGACAAAATGTTCTGAATTGGCTTGGTTTAATCTCTTGGAAGAGGTGTTGGTTAATCGTTTGATTCATCAAGAATATGTTGCTTAAGTGAGATGAGCAGAACCAGGAGAACACTGTATACAGTAGCAGCAATATTATATGATGATCAACTGTGAATGACTTAGCGATTCTTAACAACACAATGATCCAAGATAATTCCAAAGGACTTATGAGGAAAAATGCTACCCACCTCCAGAGAAAGAATTGATGGAATCTGAGTGCAGATTGAAATATACTTTTTTTAAACTTTCTTTATTTTTCTTGTTTTGTGTTTGTTTTTGGTCTATTTATCTTTCACAATATGACTAACATGGAATTATATTTTGTGTGACTGCACATGAATAACCTATCTCAAATTGCTTGATGAGGGGGTCAGGGGAGGGAGTAAGGGAAAGAATTTGAAACTGAAATTTTTTAAATGAACATTAAAAATTTTTTTCATGTAATTGGGGAAAATAAAATATTAAATTAAAAAAAAGAATATGTTGTTTATATTCTTAGGGCTGGGATATTTTTTCAATATATGTGTAGCTGACATGCCAAGATGACTGTAATAGTTATGAAATGATTTGACTGATCTTCATTTCTCTCAATAAGGGATTGAAAAAAAAAAAGCAGAGATACTAGGGTGTTAAGCCCATGAAACTTTGAGAAGTGATTGCTATGAGAAAGAGCCACAAGGGAGGGCAGGTCACGCTTCTGTACTGTGACTATGCAGGAGCACTGTGGTCATTGTCACCTTTACGGACAAATTTAAGGGTTTATGGAGAGCTATACTGAAAGACTGAGATACTAGAAGTGGATGCCAGGTATAGGTTGGAGCAAAGAGATTGCTCAGAGTGACAGGGATGGGGAACCTGAAACCTTGAGGCCATACATGGCCTTCTAGGTCCTTGGGTATGGCCTTTTGACTGAATCCAAGTTTTACAGAAGAAATCCTTTTATTAAGAGGATTTGTTCTGTGATGTTTGGATTCAGTCAAAGGGCTGTACTTGAGGACCTAGAAGGCCACATGTGGCCTCGAGGCCACAGGGTCCCCAACCCTGGCCCAGACTGTGGGAGCCATGTAGAGTGTGGAAGAGCTGAAGAACCAAGATGAGAGATGAGGACAAAAACTTAAGAGTACCTGAGAAATGGCACATGCAGACCCACAATAGGATAAGAAATTAGGTGACAAGGAGGCAAGTATAGTGAATCATTAGTTCCTAAAATTAGTGCTTAAGAAAGAAACTCACCTAATAAGTGCTGTAAGTTGGCAGGAACTTGAACTGACCCTCTGGAAAGTAGGATAGGGAATTCAGAGTTTACCAGAAAGGGGGATTATAACTAGAGATTTCCTCAAGGTGCTTGAATAGGAGTTTAATTTTTGTATTTTTTTTTTTGTTTTTGTTCAGTCATTTCAGTTGTGTCTGACTCTTTTTTTTTTTTTTTTTGACAAGGCAACTGGGGTTAAGTGACATTGCCCAGAGTCACACAGGTACTAAGTGTTATGTATCTGAGTCCGGGTTTGAACTCAGGTCCTTCTGATTCCAGGGCCAGTGCTCTATCCACTTCACCACCTAGCTGCCCCGGTGTCTGACTCTTTGTGATCCCATTTAGGGTTTTCTTGGCAAAGATACTGGAGTGTTTTGCCATTTCGTTCTCCAACTCATTTTAAAGATGAGGAAACTGAGGCATACAGGGTCAAGTGACTTGCCCAGGGTCACATAGCTAGTAAATATCTGAAGCCAGATTTGAACTCAAGAAGACGAGTCTTCCTGACTCTAAACCTGGCACTCCGTCCACTTTAATAAGCTTGTTCTGTGTTTAAATGCTGATTATTAGCCTAATGCTTGTAGGGGTAATGAAATGTCTGGTACCAAGCTTAAAATAAGCCACCGCCAAATGTTCTAAGGGCTTGACCTATTACTATTGAGATGTCTTTAAGAATGAATCTGGTCAATGAGAGGCCACACCTTCACAAAATAATTGGTTATTTCTGTTGCTGGTGACCATAAGCATGTTTGAAAGGTTGAAGGATAGTGATTAAAGTTGTACAAATCTAAAATATCCTGACTTTTATAGAGAAGGGAAGCAGAGATGGAGTCGGGGGTGGCAGCTATGTAGTATAACTGGATGTGATCACCTATTAAAAATCTAAGCAAATTAATTCTCCACATAGGGGTGTTGATTTTTTTTTTATTAAATAAACCAGAACATAAATCTCTAACTTATTCAAGCATTGTTTGGAATCTATAAGACTGGTTCTATTCTGTGAATAGTGCAGAAAAATATATGTAAATGTGTGCAATTTTTGAATTTTACTGATTCGACTTCTGGCCAAATATGATGGAGATAACCTCCTTTTCCACATTATTGCCATGGAAGAAGGCCAAAAAACCAGGGAGATACTTTTCCTAAGAGTGGGCTTTTTATCTCATTACATGTGTAAACTTGGCAATCAGGGGGTGTTTAAATCCAACTCTCTTGACAGCTGGAACATAAACAGTTCAAAGGAAAGAAGCTGAATGGGGATTACTTACAGCAGCAAGTGGTTATCACATCCTCACAAAAGGTTTCTGGCACTTTTCTTAAAGGCTTTAGAAAATTCACTTTATATACCTCTCGCTTCACTTTCCCCACTCTCCTTTATGTTGTTGTTCACTTGTGTCTGACTCTTTGTAAGCCCATTCGGAGTTTTCTTGATAGAGAAACTAGAATGGTTTGACATTTCCTCCTCCAGATCATTTTACAGATGAGGAAACTGAGGCAAAGAGGGTAAAGTGACTTGCCCAGGGTCACACAGCTGGTAAGTGTCTGAAGCCAGATTTGAACTCAGGAAGATGAGTCTTCCTGGCTTCAGACCTGGCATTCTATCCACTGAGCCACCTAGTTGCCCCTCTTCCTTTATAGTTTCCTTTAATAATAATAATGATAATAATAATAATAATAACAACAACAATAATAGCACTTGCATAGCACAATTACATAACACTTACTATGTGCTAAACTCTTTACAAGTATCTCATTAGATCCTTACAACAACCCTGGGAGTCAGGTGCTATTATTATTCCCATTTTACAGTTGAGGCAACTGAGGCAAACAGCGGTCAAGTGACTTGTTCAAGGTCACACAGCTAATAAGTATCTAAGGCTGGATTTAAACTCAGGTCTTCCTGACTCTAGGTCAAGCATTCTAAGTACTGAACCACCTTGCTGACAACTAGCTGTTTTAAGGTCCACAGATCTCTCTTGGATAGTTCTAGTACCAGTTCAAGGATATTATTATTATTGTTGTCGTCATCATCATCATCATCATCATCATCATCATCATCATCATCATTTTGCAAAGATTGTGGGACAATGGTAGTAGTTTTGATGAATTTCAAGATTCGGCAGTACGTTTTTGGTTTTTTTTTACTGTGATAGTTTCTCTCGGATCCTGTAAGCTCAGATTGATAGAGTTCACAAACATTTTTTTCCCCCTTCTCTTACCTGTCTGTCCCTCTCCCCTCATTTGTCGGGAAGAGATCCCTCCACTTAATGTTGTAACCACCACTGAATAGAGGCCACCAGGCTTGAGAGAGTGGAAGCTGTAGCCACTGGTCTCACTGGACACACTCTCGTTTTTAATAACAACATTTTCATGAATTAGTAAGACTTGGTAGAACTCAATATCTCCTTGTGCTCTGGTCCAGTTGGTGAATAAACTATTGGTTGTCCCTTGATTGAACACTTTCAGGCCAGTCACCTGAGCAGGCACTGAAATGAAAGAAAATATTCCACAAAACAAAGAGAAGACAAAATAAACGTTACTTAGTCACCCCCAAGGAAGTCCAACAACAACAAAAAAAATGAGTCAAAATTGGAGACAAACTTAAAAGCACTAAAAATAAATTCTCTGCTCTAGACTCCTAGCTTCATTTCCTGTGGCATATGGAAAGCCAGCTCCGGCACAGAAGGCTCTCCTACTTCTGAATGTTGCTTATATTAGGTGAAACCAAAATGATTTAAGATTCAAAAACTAGGAGGTGCATGTTTTAGGAGTGATTTTACATTACAAACAGAATTCAAGTAATGAAAGGCTACCACTTCTGAGCAAAACCTCCATAGCCCAATAAATTAATCCAATCTAATAAGCATTTATTAGACACCTGCTATATACAAAGCACTGTAGAAGACCCTGGGGACACAAAGACAAAATAGAAAGGAACCCCTGCTCTCAAGGAATTAGTGTAATATTTTGGGGGTGGGCTATAACACACAAACAGCTAAATATAGACATGATGATTTGAGTAGAGAGAGTAATATTTCTTTCTATTTCTATAACCACTCAGAGCTGTGTTATGAATCAAAGTGAATGAGGTTCTCCCATCTAAAAACTGGAGGACTCTCTTTATCTAAGGGATTATTATTATTATTTTTTTTTTTAGACAATTGAGGTTAAGTGACTTACCTAGGGTCACACAGCTAGTAACTGAGGTCATATTTGAACTCAGGTCCTCTATCCACTGTGCCATCTAGTTGCCCCTGGGGATTATTGTTTATTCAGCAACCTTGGGCATGACGGCAAATATTTCTTTAGCATATGGTCTAGTTACTGCCATGCAACAACCAAACAGAGTTGGTGTTTATCATGGGCTGATAACATCTCCCTGACTCTGCGTTCTCATTCTGTTAATCAGCACCTATCAAAAAACATCCTTCCCACATGAGACGGAAAGGGGTTGGCATCTTGGCACACTCCTTTCCAAAGATAAAGAGCCTTGGTAGAAATGTTTATAAGAGGGGCAGCTAGGTGGTGCAGTCGATAGAGCACAGGCCTTGGAGTCAGAAGGACCTGAGTTCAAATCCAGCGTCACATGATACTCACTAGGCATGTGACCCTGGGCAAGTCACTTGACTCCGATTGCCTAGCCCCCCCCCAAATGTTTATAAGAGGATTACCACTGTGTATAGAGGGGCACCAAGATTTTCTTAAAAATCCTAGACTTTTCCTCAAACAAGTGATCTGGATCTCTACTTCCAAAGTGAATATCTATACATTTAATAGAATTTAACCTATTTCATTTATATAATAGAAAGACCTGGGTTCAAATCCTGCCTCAGACACTCACTAGTTGTGTGATACTGGCAATCAGCCTTTGTGGGGGTTTGTTTCTTCATCAATAAAAATGTGTGGGTTGGAGTAAAGGGTCTCCAAGATCCCTTATAGTCCTAAATCTGTGATCCTATGAACTGAGGATGGAAGGAACCTTGAAGAAAATATTTTTTTGGCTCAAGCAACTACAGCTCAACTCTATGGTAAAGTCTACCTTAGGCTCTTGAAAGTTTTAGAGCAAGAATGGACCTTATACATTGGATAGTACAACTCTTTCATTGAATAGATGAGGAGACTGGGGTCCATAGAGAATAAATGACTTATTGAAGGTTACATAGTTTGTGGCAAAATCAGTGCTAGAGACGATGATATAGGACCACAGAATTGGAAGGAACTGCATTGGCCGTCTAATCTGGCCCACTTGTACCTGAACAACAACACCTTCTACCATATTTCCAACAAGTGGTCATCCAAGTTTTGCCTGTAGACCTCCAGTGAGAGGAAACTCATTGCCTCCTGAGGCAGTTTATTTTATTGCTGAATAGTTGTAATTCCAAGAAAACATTTCCTTACATCGAGACTAAATTTGACTGAGGTAAAGTGAAGGGGGCAGAATCAAAACAATTTATACAGTGATAACAATATCATAAAGACAAATTACTTTGAAAGACTTAAGAACTCTGATCAATATCATAACCAATCAGGATTTTAGAGGGCTAATGATGAAACATGCCATCTGCCTCTTGGTAGAGAGATAAATATTGAGGTGTATATATACACACACATATATAATATATACATATATGACATGACCAATCCAGGAATTAGTTTTGCTTTACTATACATGTTTGCAATGGGTTTTGTTTTTCTTGCTTTCTTATTGAGGGGCTGGGGGGAGAAGGGGAAGGTGGAAGGGAGAGAATGTAGACCTAAAAATAAAATAAAACTGAATTCAATTTAAAAATGAAAAAGACCAAATTTGCTTTTTTTGCAACTTCAACGAGTGGCTCCTGATAATGACCTTTGTTGTTGTTCAGTTGTGTCTGACTCTTGGTGACCCCATTTAGGGTTTTCTTGGCAAAGATATTGGCGTGGTTTGCCATTTCCTTCTCCAGCTCATTTTACAGATGAGGAAACTGAGCCAAACAAGGTTAAGTGGCTTGGCCAGGGTCACACAGCTAGTAAATGTCTGAGGTCAGATTTGAACTTAGGAAGATGAGTCTTCCTGATGCCAGGCCTGGCTCTCTATCCATTGCTCCACCTTGTTGACCTTTGCAACCAAGTAAAAGCCTGGTGTCTATTCCACATGAAAGCTATAATGCCCCCTAAGTCTTCTCTTCTCCAGACTAGACAGCCCAGGTTCCTTCAACTGATTCTCACATGGCACGATTTAAAGTCTCTTCACCACCCTGATTGCTGCCCTCTGGATGCCCTCTAGCTTATTGATAATCTCCTAAAATGTGGCACCTGGAACTGAACCCAACACTTCGATAAATGAGATCTGGTCAGAACAGGCTACAGTAATGAAACCTTCTTGGGCCCAGACGCTGGCTATGATATCACACCATTGACTAACGTTGCAATCCATGAAGACCCCCAAACCTTTATAAGATGAACTTCTGTCTTGTAATTCTTTGTCAACAGGATATCTAATTGGTATACAGCACACACGACTTTGGGCTTTAGATGCCTGAAAGGCAAAAAATGTGGGTTCTTTTGTTTTCTCTGAATTTAATTAAAATATATTGGAGAAAAATACCTGTTCTTCCTTCTACCCATGACGAATTTCTCAAATCTCCGCTGATGCTGGTAACTGTAGCGACATACTTTCTTCCGGGCACCAGGTCTGTGAACGTGAATTCTTTGGCTTCTTTGGATAATGCCTTGTGGATGAGTATGAGATCCCTGTCTGCTAGGGAAATGGCGTATTTATCCCATTCTGCTACAGGGGTCGACCACATGATGCTCAGAGAGGATTCATTGGCATGCTTTACTCGGAGCTGCACGACAGGCTGGGGGGCTGTGGAAAAAGCAAAGGATAACCATGCGAGTAAGTGGCATGCATGAAATGATGAGCATCCTCATTGACTGATGAGAGGGTGACAGGATGGCCAAACCCATACACTGTTCTCTTCCATCCACAAGAATATTCCAATTCAGCAAGCTAGTATGGGGTTGGTTTTAAAAGTGAAAGCATGATGACTAATGTTGATAGACTTAGCCCTTCTTAATAATGCAAGGATCTAAGACATCTCCAAAGGTCTCATGATGGAAAATGCTATACACATCCAGAGAAAGAACTATGGAGTTTGAATGCAGATTGAAGCATGCTATTTGCTACTTTTTTCTTCTGTTGTGTGTTTCCTCTTTCTGGTGGTTCCTCCTATTGGTTCTAATTCTTCCTTACAACATAACTAATGTGAAAATATGTTTAATAGGAATGTATATGTAGAGCCTATATCAGATTGTGTGCTGTCTTGGGGAGGGAAGGGGAAAATTTAAAACTCAAAAGCTTATGAAAGTGATTGTTGATAAATCAAAATAAATTAATAAAAAATTGAAAAAATAAAAGTGAAAGCATAAGCTTCAGTTGTTCAGTCATTTAAGTCATTTTGTACACTTGTGACCCCATTTGGGATTTTCTTAGCAGAGATACTGGAATGGTTTGCTATTTCCTTCTCCAACTCATTTTCTTTTTTTTTTCTTTTTCTTTTGTTTTCTTTTTTCTTTTTCTTTTTTTTGGTTAGGTAATGGGGTTAAGTGACTTGCCCAAGGTCATACAACTAGTAAGTGTGAAGTGTCTGAGGTCAGATTTGAACTCAGGTCCTCCTGACTCCAGGGCTGGTGCTGTATCCACTGCGCCACCTAGCTGCCCCCTCCAGCTCATTTTACAGAGGAGGAAACTGAGGCAAATGGAGTTAAGTGACTTGCCCAGGGTTACACAGCAAGTAGGTGTCTGAAATCAGATCTGAACGCAGGAAGATGAGTCTTCCTGACTCCAGGCCTGGTACTCTATCCACTGTTCTACCTAGCTGCCCTGTGGTCTGGATAGAAATGTGGAATTTATACCTAAGTTACACACATTTGATATGCAAACATAGCTAGGATACTTCAACCTATATTATATATTTGGATGTGGTCTTTAGGAAAAATCTGTGAAGTAAGTCAATATGCTAAAATGTTCTTTTTATCATTTGGATTTCATGTTTCTAAGTCATCTGGTTGGAGGTGGCGGGGGGGGGGGGGAGTGATAGGGTGCCCCAAACTACAACCATTCTCATCCTGTGAAATATTGAAAATAACTTTAAATAGCCTTACATAGCGGGCATCAGAAAAGATGACTGGCTACCCCGTCATCTTGCCGCTCTTCTCAATAGGGCACTAAATCAGTAAACTTGTTACAGTTCTTTAGTTTTGCCCAGGTCTGATTTAGAAAATCTGATCATTTTTCATTGCATTCAACGTTTAGAGAACGCCCCTGTCATTGCTTACTCGTTCGACCTTGGCAGCGAGCTGTGTTCTTTAGGTCTCCACTCTCAACAGTGACCTCTACCTCGTACTGTCTTCCAGGCATTAGCCCTAGGTCAGGGAAATCAAAGACCTTTGCATCTTTCCCCACGGTAGTGTTGAGCAGCACTGAAGAGCCATTGAACAGTACAATGCGGTACAACTCCCAGTCTCCAGTGGGAGGCAACCAACCCACTCTGAGGGATCTCATCCAGCCATTACTGATCGTCTTCAACTTCGTAACTTTCTCAGGAACTGAAATACGAAAGGATAAAAAAATAAGTAAGGAATCCATTTGGGAGAGGGAGAAAGGTGGAAAACATTAGAGGAATAATATAAAATCTGCCTTTTAATATGCTTTCCTCTTATTAATGGATTGTAAGCCAATGTAGAATAGCTCTCCATATAGAAAATTCCTCATTTTGGGAAATTTAATGCTCAACAAACTTATTCTTTATCAACTCTAGTAACAGACTATGCAAATGTCTGTATTTTTCAGGGGTGGAGTTTGTAGGATTACTGTTATAACTCCTTTTATCCCTGCAGATCTCTGAGCTGATTGAGGCACACAGAAGTTAGCAGTGACTTGGCCAGATAACGTCTAAAGACAGATTTGAACCCATGTCTTCCTAATTTCTACGTCCTGAACTCTAGGAGAACATTACTGCAACATTGCTTATCATCTAGTGAAAAGGACAAAGTTTATCACTGATCAATTGCTGGCCCCTGAAATCACACCTATGTTATCTCTAGCAGGTATACGTTGCCAAAGATGGCAGCTTATAGAAGAGATCCTGAATGCTTGTGGCCATTAAATGTACTTTCCTTCTTGACTCCCGGGGTATTCAATAATTTCTTATTTATCAGTCAACTTTGATGTCCCTGTTCATTATCTCATCTCCAGTAGTGAGGAGGTGACACTGTTAGAAAGGTACAATTTTTTTAAAAAAGCAATTAATTACACAAAGGCCACACCTTCACAGCCCAAAAGGAACAAGTAATCATCCTGATAATTCAAGACCCAAACGAGTTTTCTTGAATTATTCAGAGAGATGATATAATCTTTCACTTTTCTTTGAGCATTAAGACCTGGTTTAATTATATACTTTTTATGGCATGGAAAATGAACTTGCCTGCCTTATCTCAGTAATAGCCCAAAATAGTAACCTGGTCTGATTAAAAAAAAATAGGTAACCAAATTCCATTTTTGAAGTTCAAAGTTTACCTGTTCTCCCCATTGCTATTTTCTGAGCAGAGAGTTCACCACTGATGGTAGAGACAGTGATCTGATACAGGCGTCCTGGAGTCAAGCCCTCAAAGTGGGCCTCAGTCACCCAGGCTTCTATAGTTCTGAATTCTCTAACATTCCCTTGATGAGACAACGTGATATTATAATAATCCAGGTTTCCTGGTGGTCTTTTCCATTTGACTTTGAGAGAAATGCAGCTATCCTCATTAGTTACCATCAGATTTGAGACTTCCACTGGGGCTAGCAAGAATGAAGAAAACCAAAAGGTTTTAAGTTAGAGTTTGTTTTTTATGGTTTATGTTTTTCTCTATCTATCTAATTAGCATTTATCTATCTAATTAGCATTTTATTATAAAAACAAAAATGATACATGATTACATAATAGTTCAAAGAGATGTACTTTATTCTCATGCTTGAGCGTGTAGGATGCATTTAATAAACATCTGCTGACTGATAAATGCTTCATTGTTATAGAGAAAATCCTACTTAATTTACTGACAGAGTTAGGTTTTAAAAAATAAACCCTGTATTTTTGAATTCATTCACGAGTTTGACAGCTGCGATGTCACCTCACTAGAGTAATATGGTAAAATTTCACAATTGTCCTTTCCTCCATTTCTTAATCTCTGGTATACTTTTGGACCTAACTAATGTCTCAAAAATCAAAATAGATACAAATTGGGAAGATAATTTCATCCTGGATTGCCAATGGGACAGGGATTTCCAGCTACTTTTTCCTCTTAATGTATACAAATAACTTTTAAGGCTTATGTTACATTTTATATAGAGGTGTCCTTACACCATCATTAATGTCTAACTTTGATGCCTAGGGTTCGTGGACCATGGGTCTAAGACTACGTCAAGAGAGTGCAAGTTCTGGCTGGCCCTTCCAATTTGAAAGTTCAAGCATAAGCCTGACAATGAACTCTAAGCCTGCCATCTGAGGACCATCCCCCCTGAATTCCCACAGGCTCACAACCAGGTTGTCCACACTGTGATAATGTTTTTTTTGGTCATAACAACAACATGCTCAAAGTCTGTCTTATCAGTTCACAAAGGGCTTGCGATCAGAGTGGGTGTTTATTGACAAAATCACAGTGAAAAAAAGTGTCTTCTCTACACATGGGAAGAGATGTTTACATGATGTGATTTATTGGGGCACCCAAAAACCCATCAGCCTCAAAATATCTTTCCTACTAACCTACTATAGTGTCTGAGAATCTACCATGGTATGTCTACTATAACTATAGTATTACCTACTGCTAAGCCATTTTATCTCTTGGGTGGTGGTTTCTTTAAAATAAGCGTTCTTGATTCTTTTTTTGCATCATGGATCCCTTTGGCAATCTGGTAAAGCCTATGGAACCCTTCTTAGAATAATGTTTTTAAATGCATAAACTAAAATACATAGGATTATAAAGGAAACCAAAGTTTGGAAAAAATGAAGATGCAATTTTTCCCGTTAAAATTCACAGACTCCTTGAAATCTATATATGTCCTTTTTGGAGGGTCCATGTTTAAGTTTAAAATATGCCTTAGAATATGAATTTATTTAAGAAAGGATTTTCAGAAAGCAGGGCAATGATTTAGGTGAAAACTAGATGAAAACCAGAAAAAGTGGAATGCTATAGGGGAGGACCTGGGTCATCTCAGAAGCAGCATGAGGTGATTGGGTGCTTATGGAGGGGATGCTGAAAGCCAAAATAAGGATGCTGAGAGAATGGGAGGAGGGGGAGACTGTGATGAGGGAGATGACACATTAGATGGGTTCATACGAAAAACACAAATTTTCACCTAAAATTTTGTCCTGCCTTTAGAGAAATTCAAATCAACAAGTAGTTATTTAATGCCTACTGTAAACTAGGAGCTAGGAATACAAAGAGAAAAACAAAATAGTTCTTCCTCTCAAGATGCTTACTGAGGGAAACAATAGATATACTGACAGGTAAATACAGAGTAATTTCAGTAGGTATGGACTAAGGACTGTGGATGTGGGAGGAGGATATGGAAAGGCCCAATATAAGCATTTGAGTAGAAACTTGAAGGGATCTGGAGATTCTGAGAGGCTGAGAAGGGAGAACATTCCAGGCAGGACTACAAAGTCTAGGATTTAGGAAGGGGAATATTATGTGTAGGAAAACGGTAATACGTTAGCTTTCAGATGAGGAAGAGTAGTGGGAATGACTTCTGTGCTTCAGGCAGTTATGTGGAGCTGGGTTAGAAAGGGGAGAGACCGGAGCATTAGGGGAACCTAATGAAAGGAGTGGCGCTTAATAAATACGTGTTGATTGATTGAGAGCATTTGGGGGGGCCTCTAGTAGTGTTAGTCAATTTCATTCTGTCCTGTGATCTCCTTCCTAAGTTAATTCATCAGCGAATGTCATCACACTTTGTTGGTATGAGTTTTTGAGTTGGCTGGGTAGACTTACCTGTCCTAATTAATTTAGACTTGTAGTTCCGTAACCCCGCTGCTTCAGTTACGATTGTGAGGTTGTAGAGATGGCCTGGGGTCAGTCCATGAAAAGTGTGCACAGTAACATGCTTTTCTGCACTGATGTCATGAACTGTTCTCCCTTTATCCAGTAACATCACCCTATATTGGTCCACATTGCCAGAACCTGAGGACCAGGAAACCTGGAGAGTATCAGTCTTGGTGGAGGTTTGGATAGCTTTCACTGGGAATGGTACTAGTGGAATAAAAGGCAGGTACAAAGTGTCAGAGGTCATCATTTCCATGGACAATATACATATAGATACAGAACATTCATTCATTTATGCTTGCCTGCAATCTCAACTGTGCAAACTGTAGAGTAACTGAAAAATTTAGGAATGTCAGCAAGAAAGCAGCACTTAAGAGTCGGGACACTGGCATTAATCTCATCTGTAATGCTAGCTTCATGCCTATGGAGCGTCAGTTTCCACATCTGTAAAATGGGGATAATAATATTTGCACTATACACTTCATAGAGTTATGTAGCGGAATTCATTTTGTGAATCCTAAAATACTATAGAAATGTGAATTATTCATATTGTTAATAAACCTTGCTATAATAAGACATAGAACAACTTTATAAATGAAACCACCTCCTTATGTGGGTTTATCAGGAGCTAAGTCTTGAATGGGGTCCAGGAAAGATCTGCCTTATATTGAAATCTCTTCTACATAAAATTGTGTTAACATATACCCAAGTACTCAAATGGATTTATGATCTTATTGATTTGAAAGTTCCTTCCAACAAAACGGATCACGACTCATTCATGCTGGCTCATCTTCTGCAATTCTTGTCTATGTCTTCCCATAAACATACCAAGCGGGCAGTTAACCCAACATGCTAGAGGACTTCCTTGATTTTTCCTGACAATGCAAGGGTACCAATGGGGACCCTGATTGTTCATTTTTCATCTGTCACACTTGCTACATGATCAATCTATCTTTTCTTCTTGTCACACCATTAATTCCTTGATGACATGGTTTACTCCTGTTTTCCTTCAAAGTTATTCGTTGTTCATGTGTTTCAGCCTGCTGTGTGCCCTCCCGCTACCATCTGTGTGATATTCACTTATCATTCTTCAGAGACTATTAAATACTATATCTTACAGTCATACAGTAACACTATTAGAATGTTGGTATGAAAAAGGGGCCTTTGCCTTCTTGGGAAGCTTGGGGTAAGTTGAAGGGATTTGCAATATCTCAAGGGCAGTTCAGTCCTATCTCCTCTTCTTGTTCAAATCTGTGACCAGTTCATTGTCCATCTATACTCTTTATCCCAGATACACATATCGATAGACAAGCTCTGTAGGTTAACCACCCAAAGGCATTTTGTAATCTTGGTAACAGGCAATCTTTATCCACTTGGTCTCTCCTGTGTGGATGAGCAGGTCCAATTCTTTTGAGTGATTGGAAATGTCTTTTAGGAGCCTCTGTAAAGTTTGGGGGCTTGATGCAATCAGAACAATGTCAAACTCAAACACAAGTATCTGTAGGACCTCAAAATCTATTCGAAATTCTTCTTTAGCTTGGACTCCGTACTGGAACCCTTCCATCAAAGTGGCAAATATTTTTAGTAAGCATGCACTTCTCTATTTTATGACTTGTACTATTTATGATTAGGGAGTCATTGAACAAGGTTATTTATATTGTTATGTCTTCAAGGGATCTTAGATGGTTTTAATGTCTGTATGGGAGCCATCTTGCTGAAAAAAATGACCTTTAGATTGGCATTTTACTCTACCAAATCATATTATTTTTCACTCAATAAACAATAATTATAATCTTTCATTACTCTTTCATTCAATTGTGAAATGTGAAAGATGCAGTCTACTATTGAATATTGCTCATAAAAGCACCTTTTCTCCTCGTAGAGGATGCCTTTGATTTGTGTATAAATAACTTTCATAAAGATTTTGTCCAAATGAGAAATAGACATGTATCAGTGAGTAATTATTGATGTTCTCTTAGTTGGCTTTTTGGTGGTATTAACAGGGTCAGAGATCTTTTTTTTTTTTTTTTACCCATTTTGTATTCTCCCCTCTTTTAACTACTTTGCATCTCAATCTCTGAAGGCCTTTATAATTGCCTTGCCTCCAATTCAAATCTCTTGTAAATATACTTTGCTCTTTTTAAGTAAGTTTTCTATTTTATCTTTAAATACACCTGGGACTATGATGGAGGGTTCTATTGCAATGGCTTCACCAATTCTTGATGGAGAAGACAATTTGTTGTAATGATTTTACAAATATTTTCTGTTTTTCTTCTTCGTTATCCATCTACCTTCATCCCTAAAGTCACTTTTTTAGTTGCATATATAGCCAAACTTTCCTGAGCTGATTTTACCCTTCATTTTTCACTGCTCTGTGAGATGATACTGCTCAGAATCATCTGTCTTAATCCTTCATAAGATTTTGCAGATGAGTTTACATTCTATCTTGGCATTACCTTTGGCAGCCATCTCTTTTTGGCAAGTAAGTCAAAGTGTCAAATTGTTTGCTGACTGAGGCACTTTCTAAGATCTTCTGATCTCCTCTATTACCGCAACTAATTTATATTGGTTAATTTTTTTAAAGTAAGACTATTATAATTGTTGTCAATGTGATTTGATTTCCAATTCCCAATTTGGATTGTCAAATACTTGTTTTAATAGTTGCAGATTGAGTTGTTTCAACTGTATGCCATGTATTTTCCTCATTTTTATAACTTTTTTTTTCCTTTCCACTAACTATGATATTAACTCTGACAAGATGATGGTCTGAGTATACCTGAGCAACTAATTCAAGGATGTCTCCCACATCAATAACAAGTCCTTTCCGATCTGTCAAGATATAATCTATTTCATTCTTTATGGTACTATTTGGTATTTATCATGTCCAAAACCTACCAATTATTTTCCTAAAGAAAACATTGATGATTCAAAGGTATGGGTCTTCTGTGAAAACTATAAGTCTTTGGTCTCTCTCATTTCATCTTCCTGAGTCATGCTTTCTCAAATTTTCCTCCCTTGTATTAAGGTAATAACATTATTGGAATTTATTGATTTACTTTGGAGTGTCTTGTCCCAGATCTTTATAGAATTTCTTTACCTCTTCATTTCTAACAATGGATAATGATGCATCAGCTTCTTGAAAATTTCTATCATTAGTATTGCAATTTATGATGACCAAATATCCCATGAAACAAAAGCAAGCCTTTGGGTGTATGATTAAAAAAAAAAACAGAGGTGGAAGAGTATGCAGAGTGATGGATGGATGGGGATGGAGTAGGGTAAGGGGTTTGGGTAGGTTATTTGGGAGTCCAATTTGACCAGGTGGACAGCATAGAGTTGATTAATTTGAGATAAAACTGGAAAAATAAGGTGGTCCCAAAATATTAAGGAAATCCCCTAAAAGAACTTAGAGACTTAAATGGTCAAATTCTAGCTCTTAAAAGCTTCTGGGAGCCCTGGGAAGTCACCTTCTCTTTGAACAGCATCAACAACTTGTGCCAAATTCTTTTTTGGTCTCTCCAAGGAGAACCTATGAACAGGCCTTCCATTTAGCTTCAATTTCCTTCTTTCTTCAAGTTTCATTTATGGCAAAAAATGGTAAGACTGATAGGATTCACTTCTTCCTACAGCATGTCTATCGCACAAGGAGCTGACATTTAGCATACCACGAGGCAAATTGTTTATGGATGTGGAAAGGACATCCAGAAGTGGCAGGGATCATTTAGGACTAAAGGCCATTTTATGATTTTTCTTTGTTTTATGGGTTGCCACGGCCAAAGAATTCATCGATAAATGACGTCTATTGGTGATATGCTTTACCTTAGTTGCTTAGTTAGTCTTTAGAACAAAGACTCCTTTTAATGCTGGGGCCATACTTAAAGTATTTTTTAGGATTGTAGAACCTGCTAGAGATTATGCTCTGCTGGCATGATCATTAAGAATCCAAGGTCACTTCCAGAAGCATCATAGTAAGATTTTGTGTTAACACTCTAAAGAGTTCCTACTTATGCCCACTATAGCTATTACTCAGCTAGACTAACCTTTAACATAAACTACTATTTTTCTATCATTTTAATGGTAGTAATTTAGAAGGCCTTTGCAGTGACAGCTACATTTTTTGTGTTTTGTGTGAACATGCTAAAAAATGTTTTAAACACAGCAAGCACTACAAGAAGCCTTCTAAAATTGCAATCATAAATGTAGTAAAAATAGTTTTTTATAGGAAAGATCTACCTGAGGAATAGTTATGGAAGGTAAGCATAAATAGGAATTGGAAGAAAGGGGAGGAAGGAATAAAGTAGGGAGTTAACAGAAGAAAAAAAGGGGAATGAAGGATTATAAATGAGGGAAAGAAAAAAGAAAAGACTAGAAATACAATAGAAAGTACATGCAATAGAAAGGACAAGAATATAAACAAACAATTGCCTCAAATTTCACCACTATTTTGGTTCCCAACTGCTAATTAAACAAGAGGTGAAAGAATGGGATTCAGGGAACTTTATGTCAAGCTAATGTCAGGCAAAAATGAGTAAAGGAAGAAAATAATTAAAAATAAATGCATTCCAGGTTATAAATTCAGAAAATAAGGTTGATCAACACAATTCCATTTTAAGTATAGGATGATAGAGTTGGTCATTAATTTAGAGATTGTTCATTTAAATTCATGTTATAGATAAGAAAAAAATATAACTCCAGGGAAATTACTAGGTTTGGGCAAGGTCATATAGTAAAATGAGAAGTAGAACTCAGGCCTTCCAACTCAATGATTTTTTTCATGACTCCAAACTGATTTTGGGGGGAGGGGCATGTAGGGAAGTTTCTGTCCTTTGGATAACGACATTTCTAGGATCTCTAGAATTTGGAATGAATATGATGTTGTAGACAGGACAATTCAAATGGGAGTCATGAAACCTGGATTCTGGCACCAGCCCTGGTACTAATTTATTAATTTGATTCATTTAATAGATTAGTAACTGATCAAAACATTAATGAGGGCACAAGCCCTGAGATGAAATGAGATAATGTATGTAAAGCATTTTGAAAACCTTAAAGTGATATATAAATGATAACTATTATTATTGTTATTTTGGCTTAATGGGGGATAGGGGACAGGATAAATAATTAACATTTAAAATACTATATGATTTGCTCATACTACTACTGCAGCTAAAGTGTTATGTGAGGTCTGAAGGGGGAAAGATCATCACTTATTGGAGGAGGGTAGGGAACGCTTACTGGAAAAAGTGGCATTTGAATTGAGTATCAGAGAGACAAGAACTTAATTTGAGACAAGGTAGGGAGTAGGTGGAAAGGGAGAGAAAAGGAGGTGGGAACCATCTCACCTAGGAGGTGGCACATTGGATAGAATGCTGGACTTGGGAGTTAGAAAGATCTGAGTTCAAATCCTGCCTCAATCTCTTACTTAAGTGACCCTGGGCAAGTCACTTAACCTCTGCCTCAGTTTCCTCATTTGTAAAATGGGATCCAAAATAACACTTAACTCTCAAATATATCTCAAAAATAACTCTCAAAGTTGTTGTTTGAGTCAGAAGCCAAGATAGCATTGAGGTTTCAAAATACATGATTGGATAATATAACAAAGAACAGGTGTTTGAGGGGCAAAGATGCCGAACTAGGATATTGGACGTGTTAAATTTGAAGCATCAGTGAAGGTTCCCTGTAGGTAGTTGGAAATATAGGGTTGGAGTCTGGGAGAAAGGTCAGAGCTAGAGTCATAGGTCACACTAACTGGAAGGGTCATCTTGTACAACTTGTTTAGTTTCCTTTTGTCTCAGCTACCTCCCCTGTAAATAATGGGAATTGGCTAGATGACCTCTCCCATCTCTACTAACTCTAATGTTGCATGATTCTGAGTACTTAATATTTAATAATACATAAACAGGTCTTACCGGTAGATCCATTGATGTGAATTGCAGAGCTGCTTTTATTTCCAGAAATAGCTTGAATGGCAAAATAATATTTGCTACCAGCAGTGAGGTTGGAAAACGTATTTTCATTTTGGAAAGTACTTTCTGGAATTATAGTCTCCTGGATCTTCTGGTTCTTGTCATTGAACAACTGCAGCTCATATGAATCAACCTTTCCCAAAGACGGGGCCCACCAGACGTGCAAGCTTGTGGAAGTGGTCTTGTTCACATCAACTTCAAACCTTGTGGGAGGTAAAGGGGCTGTGAAGAAAGTAACAAAGAAGAGACTAAGATGTGCGAATACAGTAGGGGTTCTTAACCTGGAGTCTGTGAACATGCTTTAAAACAATATCTTGATAACTACATTTCAATATAACTGGTTTCCTTTGTGACTTTACGTATTTTATTTTATGCACATAAAAACATGGGCAGCCAGGTAGTGCAGTGGATAGAGTGTGAGGCCTGTAATCGGGAAGGCTCATCTTCATGAGTTCAAATCTGGCCTCAGACCCTTACTAGCTTATAGACCTTGGACAAGTCACTTCACTCTGTTTGCCTCAGTTTCCTCATCTGTAAAATGAGCTGGAGAAGCAAATGGCAAATCATTTCAGTTATCTTTGCTAAGAAAACCCTAAATGGGGTCACGAAGAATTGGACATGACTGGAAAATGACTGAACACACACACACACATTCTGAGAAAGAGGTCCATAGGCTTTGCCAGACTGCCAGAAGGGTCCATGACATGCAAAAAGATTAAGGATTCTTGTGCTGCAGGAGCTCTCTGCATTACTGTTCAGATCTATTTATAACAGGCATTGTAGTGTGGTAGAAAGAGCTTTGGTAGTGGAGATGGGGAAAATTTGGCGATAGAAGACTCGGGTTTGAAACCTGGCATATCTGTGCAACTCTGGGCAAATTCACTTTCACCAAACTGGTCCTCAATTTCCTCTTCAATGAAACAAGCTGTTTGGGCTAGATAATCCCTAAGGTTTCTTTGAGTATTAAGTTTTATGAACTCCTATGCTCCCTTGCAAATGACAGTAACCAGAGCATATCTGCCACTTCATTAAAACATGGGTATAAACACCTATCATATAAATACATATTTCTTCAAATATTAAAAAAAAAATCTTACTTCATCAATGACAATACTCCCTCTACCAACACAAGTTCTACACTCTCCTGTGTCGCAAAACATTAATTGCCTGGTGACCAATCCTTTGGTGATATGCCTCTCTGAACTTTCCAAGTGTGGGCCTCAGAAAAGAGATATATAGGATGGTACTTGGAGTCTTTCCAGTTTTCTCAGACCTGGCAAACCTTACAAATTGCTGGCGTAGCCTGGAAAAACTCAAGGTCACCTCCACACCATGATGTGGTACTCAGAATAGGGGTGTTAGTGGAAGAAATAAATTGGCATTTCTATTGAATTAAAACATTTTATTTGGCTGGTTGTAGTTATGCCCTTGGAGTTCCAACTGATGCAAAAGTTTTATATTTTCTTTGTCCTGAAGAACCATTATGTCTTTGTCTCTCTCTGTCTTTTCTCTTTCTCTCACTCTGTGTCTCTTGATTGACTGCCTTAAATGTTTTTCATTCCATCCAAGACTATCCACACAAAGCTAAATATCTGGACAAACCCTGAAAAACATGGTTAAAAGTTTGATTTTTTGCTTACTTAATGTGAAAAATTCAACATTAAGAATCTTATGTATATTTTAAATAAAATTTCTCCCCTTACCACAGCCAGTTTTTATCTTGGCATTTGGTGCCATGGAAATATGGCGTATACTGGAGCTAAAGAATCTTCATCATCTGGCCACAAGCCCAATCTGAGTTCATACACCAACAGCATATGATCCAGGTTATCCAACAACATATAAACTCTGAACTTTCAGTCCATCAAGATAATTTTAATGAACAGTCTACCTCGTTGCTGAATTAATAGCTAACGCATTCAGACATTTCATACTGTATTCCATGTGAATAGATAACACTTGGTCAACAAGTAAAGTTACATAACATTTCATTGTTGTCAGTCTCTGAAAGTCAGCCACAAAAGTGCCAAGTGGTCGATGACGGATGAACCCAAGCCTAAAAGAGTAAACTGACATTCTCAAAGCAATAGCAAAATGAACTGATTTTAGAGATGAATTCTGAACGGCCAGCTTACACTGTTCTCTGTCCCACACATTCATCATGTATTACTCTAATTCTCCATCCAAGAGAGCAAAAGCCCATAAAGTAAACAATAAAAAAGAAAAAACTTTCCTCTGAATTGCTGAGATATTTCAGATCAAAATATTCAATCCTTCTCTACACATCATTTTGAACTATCTTGAGAACTGCTTCAATTTTTCCCATCCTAGAATTTTCTTTTCTTTTCTTTTTTCTTTCTTTCTTTCTTTTTTTTTTGGTTGTTGTTGATGCAATCAGGGTTAACTGATCCAGGGTCACACAGCTAGTGTAAAGTGTCTGGTCTGAGACCAGTTTTAAACTCAGGTCCTCCTGCCTCCAGGGCCGGTGCTCTATCCCCTGTGCCATCCAGCTGCCCTAGAATTTTTTTTTTTTTTAGAATTTTCTTTAAAAAAGCAAAACAGAACACCTTAATAAAATACAATCAACTCATTCCCAGGGGAAAGCTTTCTAACTGGTAGAACCAAATCAGAAGCTTCTGTGAGGATTCTTCCTTCTCTTTGTAAATAAGCAATTTTCTTCAGTAGCACTGAGGGGGCAGTGGGACACAGTGGGAGGGAGCATTGTTGGATCTGGAAATCAAGGACTTGGGTTCATAACTTAGGTCTGCTGCTTACTCCTTGTGGAAGCTTGGACAAGCCATTTAACTTTATGGGCGTCTACACTATTCCTCATCTATGAAAGGAGGCGGTTTGGAGTGGCTGGCCTCGGGGATGCCTCCCAATTCTACATCGATGATTCCATTTACTTTTAGGATGGAGATAGTAACAATAACAACAACAAACAATAATATTACATAGCACTTCCTGTGGCCATTCTGTTGTTTCTGTTGTTTCTGACTCTTCATGATCCCATGCACCATAGTATACCAGGCTCTTCCACCCTCCACTATTACTATGGGCCAGGCGATTTACAGATACTGTCTCATTTGATCCTCACAACAACCCTGGGAGGTAGGGGCTATTATTATCATTCCATTTTACAGAGAAGGAAACTGAGGCAAACAGAGGTTAAGTGACTTTCCTAGGGTCACACAGCTAGTCTGTGCCAGAAGAGGCTTGAAACCAAGTATTCCTGGCTTCACATTGTCGTTTACCTTATCATAAATAATCACCCAGAACCCAAATTATGGATGCCAAAATTCATACAGAAGCACATAATTTTCACTCGTTTTTATTGGTAGCTTTTGTTTTTATATCATTTTCATTTGCAAATTACTCCTATCCCTTCCTCACCTAACCAGTGAGCCTTCCCTCCTAATCAAGATTTTTAAAAGAAACAGAGGAGAAAAAAGTAAGGAAGAGTACGAATTTTAAAATGATGTTTCTAATTCAGAAAACATTTCCTTTGGGGATTTAGATAAAGACTACACTCTCCTGAATTCTGATAGCCCCCTAAACTCAAGAAGAATGAATTCACAAGGATCCCATCAGATGATAACTGAAAAGGCCCATTCTTGGCTCCAGACCAAGAGGAGTTGATTTTTATTAGCATTTCAAAGGTAATCAGTAAAATTCTAATGAAAGATAACCTGAGAAAAGGCTTGGTGTCCAGACCACATTTTTTGCCAGATCTGCAAAATATGAGTTTCTGCCATTAAGTTTTAAGGTGTTTTAAACCATAATGGGTTGCGTGCCTGGAAGGTGAAGTTCAAATAGGCAGACTTTATCTAATTGATCAGGGCCAGAAAACAAAACACTGAGTCCTTTGTGTATCCGAAACAATGGGACTGGGAGGGGCCTGGGCTGAGAGAGCACTGGCTGGAAACGAACACTTAAAAAGCCATTTATATTGTGATAAAATTCTCTTACTGGCAACTGCCCAGCCCTGACACAGTAAAGAAGTCAAATATTTTTTGGACAAGTATTTTTAATGTGAAATCTACTTAAGATCTATAAACACTTCAGTAATGTGCTTCATGGGGCTGTTACTTTTCTTTTTAATCAGGAATGGTCATTTACTGTATTCAATATAATTTAATGTTATTTTAAAAGATAGTTCCACAAACCTGGAAGAGCCCCACTAGGCTAGATCCATATGGATGGATGGATAGATATGGGTGAACATCGCATGTTTGTATCTCTCTTAGTTCTATCATAACACACCTCTGTACTTCATAACCAGTGAAGTATCTCAGAATAAGAGAGCTGTCAAAGTCCATGAATTGAAACTTTGGTCTCGAGCAAAACATGTACTTGAATCATTAGCCAGCAATTTTGTGCATCTTTGCTTCCAGACACAACAGGAAATAGTGATGCCAATCATACCAGATCTTACAGTGTTCTCTCGGCATTTGATATTGACTATACTGGCAAAAGGAAGTACCAGAAATCTCATGAGTAAGCTTGGTCGCCCAATTTTCCTCTCTTAAGAGGAAAGGACAAAGTTTGGTGAAAGTCCAGCACCAAAATGAACTTGCATGAAGTCATGCTTTTTTTTTTAAAGGAAGTCACATAATGAAATATTTGTTTCCTTTTTTTATTGCCATAGAATTGATCTTGAAAATATCAAGATCACTAGATAAGAGAATTTCAAGGATATTTTGAACATGAAATGACCAATATTTATTCTGAAAATAGGCACCAGTGTACTGAGGAAAATGCAATCACACACACAGATTTTTGTGCCAAGAGCTTTTTTCTCCTCAAAAGTATCATGATCCAATATCCCTTACTCATTTAAAAAAAAAATACTTCTTAGGGGGCAGCTAGGTAGTGCAGTGGATAGAGCACTTCCCTGAAGTCAAGAGGACCTGAGTTCAAATCTAGCCTCTGGCATTTAACATTCACTAGCTGTGTGACTCTGGGTAAGTCACTTAACCCCAATTGCCTCATCCCCTCCCCCCCAAAAAGATTCTTATACCTAGGGAGGATTTGTCTATGAGATGAAACATCTCTTCTATATAACAAAAAACTATGTCTATCTAGTTTAAAAAATATAAAATTGGTTGTACCAATGGAGTCAAAAAGGCTGAAGAACTTAAATGAATTGCTTACTTTTCACTTAGTTGTGCCGGTATCAGATCAACGTAGCCTACATGAAGAAGACATTGCCAATTAACCAA